TTTTTTTTTTTTTTTTTTTTTTTGTAATAATAGTAAGAATATTACCACTCTTCTTTATCTATGCCCCTCAGATCAAGAGTATCTTGAAATGATGAAGCAATGAACTTTAAGTATCATGTATAGAAAGCAAAAAAATTAGAAGAAAATGTGAACATAGGTCATTAATTAATGCATCTCACAAGCAGAAGATTCAGTTAGCTTACATATGACACAAATATCAAGGACATAGTAAATAATGATGCCTATGTTGTATCATACAAATTGCAGTGGCTCTTGAAAAAAAAAATAAAAAAATTAAAAAAAAAAAATGATACTTTGGGTGAAGTAAATTATTAATCTTTTGCTCAAATGGAAATGTTTATCATGTCCAGAGCTAAGTTCTCAATCATCAAAGCTTCTACTTCTCCACTGCATTTCATCCTTCCTGTAATGCACATATCATCACAAATCCTCTTTAGAAATCACAAAGTATGAAAATATGGTTATATGTAAAAAAAAAAATAAAAATAACTGCTTGACGGTGACGGTTAGGAGTACCTAGCAATGACCCTACTGACGTAACTGTAGACGAGATTTCTTGCAAACTCTAGAATAAGTTGAGTGTCGGTTCGAATTTGAAAGACCGTCGAGATTTTATTAGCAAACTTTGGCTTGAGAAAAACATCATTACCTTAACTAGTTAGTAGGGGACTTACCGTGGGCAGATGCTGGTGTGAGGTTGATGTTGTGATTCGACATATTGTTCGTGAGTGGGAAAGATGAGATTGGTAGGACCGGCAAGTTTTGGCAGTTGCAAATCTCGATCATGTAGCCATCAGGGTCATGGAAGAAAATCTGGTCCACAATTATGCCACCTTCTTTTACCACTGCTGTTATGTATTCTACTTTCATGTTCTCCAGTTGGTGAACTATTAGGTCCATGTCTGAGCACTGGAATGAGATGTGATTGTCTTTTGGATTTATTTTCCCTTTTTTCTCCTTCACACTTTCTGATCCCAAAAGATGGATTCCAATCCCATGGTTGAACAACCTATAAGCACAAAATAGATTTTTTAAGGCAAAATATTGACTGAGAAAGCACACGAATTTTTCGGTGCACGAGTAGCGAATGGTTTGGGATGTTTTTAGCAAGAAGATATTTGTTATTTCATTAGATAATATTTTATTTTTTTTTAAGATCATTGGCGCGTGTTTGCATGAGCTGACTATCGAGATTACGTTCTATCGATCATTTTTTGTATATTTTGACGCACACGAGTAAAGAAATATAGCAAGGGGATTGAAGAAGGAAACAGGAAGTGAAAAGGGGTGTGAAAATTTGCAGCATATATACCAAGCCCCTTCAAAGTCGAAGGAAGAGGGCCTTTTGATGAGCACAAATCCTAGAACTTGTTCATAGAACTCGACAGATTTGTCGACTGATTTGCAGACAAAAGAGACATGGTTTAAGGACAAGAAAGGCAAACCCCTTGCTCCAATATTAATATTGGTGGTATTGTTGCTAATTGCATCTTCTTCAATGCCTGCAACAGTTATCTCAGTCACCATTTCTACTGATTGTTGCTGTGTGTGTGTTTTGGGTGTTGATAAGAGTTTGGTCTAAGAAACTGAGATATTTGAGCTAAAATTAGGCTATATGTGCTGATGATAATGAAAAAGTATGCATGTGGATGATGTGCATATATAGAAAATATACCAGGACAGTGGGTCAGGCTGGGGGAGAATAATTAATGTCAAAATCTCTATTCTAAAAATCGGCCTAGGCGCTACGCGGTGTCCGGCCGCCTCCGATTTGCACAATCGGCCAGGCAGGCCTAGGCGCTCCTAGGCGGACTTAGCAGGCTCCGCGACCAGGCGGTTACGCGGTGATGCGTAGACGGACCTAGGCGCTCCTAGACGGGCTTGGCGGCAATTTTTCAGTTTTTTTTAATACTAATTACATTATTTTGTTCTCATGTTTTCTTTAAAATATATTAATATTATTATTTGGACTTAGGTTTGTGGATTTATTATGAGTCGAGATAGTTATATTTTGTCGGTAGTTAAAATAAATAAAAAAAGTAAGATATTTAATATTGATTTATAGGCCCCGATTAGACGCCGCCTAGGCCGCGCATAGGCAACCTAGGCGTTAGGCGCTGGTCGAGCGCCTACGGGACGTCTAGCGACTTTTAGAACTCCGGTCAAAATTGAATTTGTAATCTCTCTCTCTCTCTCTCTCTCTCTATATATATATATATATATATACACACACTAGTACAATACTCGTGTATTACACGGGCACTTGCTAATTTTTTTCTTGAAATTTAAAATTAATGAGAAAAAGTAGGTGAACATTTAAATACCTTTTATAAAAATATATATTATTATATATTTAGTATGACACTTTTTATTTGTGTGACTTACTTGTGTTATATTATAATAATTTTTTTAACTTACAACATATACTACATTAAACATAAATATATGAACTGAGAAATAATTTTATTTCTCTAATAAATTTTAATAAATATTATTATTTTTTATAATTATAAAGATGAATATAATTTATTTGTTTTATATGTACAATATGGATGTCAAATCGAAGATCATGAAAAGATGATTAATTTGATTTATTATATATGTAAAACCGATAAGAAATACAAAAGTTATCGACCTTTAAAATACATTTATAATTCAATAGCTAATTGAAGGAAAACAAATCAAAAGTCAGAGATATATTAGTCACTTAGTGTCTCACTATGTAAAATTACTAAGAATTAAAGGGTTATATTAGTACAAGTGATATTAAAATACCTAAGTTAGCTAAATAATATTTATGGAATGTCCGAACCTAGATTATTAATTATATATATATCAATATTATTTGTTCAAACTTAATTACGAAGCATGATTCTTCATCAAGTAGGATTCCGAACCACCAGAAGCAGCCACGTAGGCTCAACGTATTCGGGAATTATATGTAGGGGAGATATATCCCTGACTTCGGAATCCTACTTGGCGAAGAATCATGCTTCGTAATTAGGTTTGGAAAATATAATATTGATATATTAATAATTTGAGTTCAGACATTCCATAAATATTATTTAGCTAACTTAAGTATTATAATATCACTTGTACTAATATAACCCTTTATTTCTATGTAATTTTACATACTGAGGCACTAAGTGACTAATATATCCCTGACTTTTAATTTGTTTCCTTCAATTAGCTATTGAATTATAAATATATTTTACAAGTCGATAACTTCTGTATTTCGTATCGGTTTAGATATAAAATATATCAAATTAATCATCTTTTGATGATCTTCGATTTGACAATTTCTCAATTGATATATTTATACTTAATGTAGTTATATGTTGTAAGTTAAAAAAAATTATTATAATATAACACATGATAATATATATACTCTTATAAAAGGTATTTAAATTTTCAACTACTTTTTTCTCAATTATTTAAAAAGTGTCTCAATTTTTTTTTTTGGTAATCTTTGGATTCCTTATCATTGGTATGAGAAATATGAAAATACATATATATATATTCAATATTTTTGGTATAAATGATTAGGGTGGAGGTCAAAATTTCAATGAGATCTTATAGAAATGGCGTTATATATCTGTTGATATCATTTTCAATGAACCAAGTTAAGCAACGTTGATTAGGCGATTAAGATCAGTATGAGGATAATTAAAATTCGTACAAGTACATGACGTTTACACAGACTTCAAGACAATTGCACAACAAGAGATTCAGCAAGAACCGACATCATCGTTACTTGACCGATATCTCATGTCGGTTATCACATGTCGGTCACTACATGTCGGATACAACATATTGGTTATAACTGGACGAACCGATATCTATGATGTGCCACTTCAACACTGTAAGGCGGCGACAACTCAGCACAAATCATCATTACGTTTGTCCAAGTGGCGTGCTATCAAAAGAAGTAACAAGAAGCCGCCTTTGACCTTGAGAAATCGCAAGAAGCCGCCTTTGACCTTTCAAATGTAATGATTACTTTACAGATAAATGTTGTACATAAATATAAAAGGAGAAAACAGTTCTCCAAAAAGGGAGAGACACAGACAGATACAATAATAAGATCAGGAAAATTTCCATTTCTTTTTATCAAGCATACAAGCTTCTGTTGACTTATACTGAGTTTACTTCAAATCCTTATCGATTATATCGTTGTTAATTCTCATTTGACAACACTTTGGCGCTAGAAGGAGGGCGCGTTTATGTTTTTAAGTTAACTTTCGTTTTTAAGCCATTTTCACGCTCGAAACCATCATGTCGCAGTCTGGTCGAGACCACGTAACTCACCCTGGCCAGAGCCAATCAACTAACCTTTCTCCACGGCGTGCAACACCACCTCCTACGGTCACGAATGTCACGAACTTTCTTCAAAATCCGGAGTTTATTCAAGGTTTGACTTCATTGATAGCTCGAGCCATGCCCAGGAACTCGAATACGATACCGTTATCGATGCCGTTAACTACTAACCCAACAGAACATCCAACCCACACTCATCATGACCTTGAAACACATGTAGCGACATCACATGCCACGTCGCAACCTCATCATACTTCTCCACGTCGAGAAGAGCGGATTCATGTAATTGCTAATCCTGTAACGAACAATCAAGTTCCAGATCAGCCCCCTGCGCAGGAGATGACTGCTGAAAGTCATTCTGCTCATCACCAGAGAACTTCTCCACGTCCTAGACCCGTTTCATCAGCGCCTCACGCTCACGAAGATCTACGGCGCCAAATTGAACGAAATCGCCTTTCAAGGCATAGTGCAGAGGAAATTGAAACTCTTCGTAAACGTTTGGCTGAACTTGAGACGCGACAGAAGTCACAGGAAGACTCTCCCCGACATGTCACGACGTCGGGAAATGTCATTATTGAGGCGGATTCCCCATTAGCTCCGGAACTTACCGCAGAGGCGCTTCCAGCTAAGGTAAAAATTCCACAAATCGGCATGTATGATGGGACATCAGATCCAGATGCACATTTGGGCCATTATACGTCCTGGATGGATTTACATGGTGCTTCAGACGCTCTGAGGTGTCGGATGTTTTCGCTTACACTGGGGCCACGAGCTAAAAAATGGTACTATACTCTCCCGCCTCATTCGATTTGGAAATGGCAACAGTTGCGTGCGGCTTTCCGATCACACTTTATCGGTGCTCAAATTTGCCTCATTCCGAAAGAATCGATTACCAACATTGTGCAAAAGGACGACGAGACTGTTAAAGACTACGTGGCTCGGTTCAACGACCGAATTCAGAACATGGAGCCTTGTCACCCTGAAACTTTGTTAGTAACTGCCATTGCTGGATTGAAACCCAACTCGATGTTTCGTTGGACCTTGTGTCAAAATAAACCTGCTACGTTTCAAGAATTTCTTGTGCGAGCTCAACAATTTATTATTGCCGAAGAATCGATGTCGGTTCCCAGTTTCGACTTCTCGTGAAAGAAAGCAAGACTGAACCGGACGCTAAAAAGAAGAACAAGAAGAACTTTGGGAAAGCACAGTTTCGGAACTCCTCCAAAGGATATGAAAATACTCCAGAGTCTCGGGCTGCTCGTGATCAATATTCGGACAACGTCAGGACAGGTTATCATGCCGTTTATTCTGCCGGAGTAGCTACCATATATGAAGAACTGAAAGGAAAAGGGATTATCCCAGACCCGAGGCCTGTGTGAACTCCTGAAGACAAGTTGGACAAAACTCGGTACTGTGCATACCATAAGTCTCCCGGACACAATACCGATGAGTGTCTCGGCCTTTTGTCGGCACTCTTGCGCTTAATCGGACAACCTCAACTTCAAAAGTTTCGAAATTTTGACAACTGCCGGAAAGGAAGGCCCTTGGATCTTTCAGACGATGAAGATGAAGATAACCGACCCACTAACCAGAAAAGAGCTCGCGCAAATGATAAAGAGGTCTTCACGTTTTCTACTCATGTCGGAACCTCGACTGACAACTGCAGGAAATCCCGGACACATGACGCCTTAGGTTCTTCACATTGCATACCTCGGGTCAATTCCAATAATAAGCAATTAGATACTTCCCGACGGAAAGTCAAAACCTATGCCCGAGAGGCGCAAAATGCCGAGAAACGAGTCATGAATGTTGATCTTCGAGATACTATCAATAACCGGAATTGCCCTATTACGTTCAGTATCGAAGATGCCAACCTATTTGCTCATCCTCATTCCGACGCCCTCATTATAACAGCCCCGATTGGAGGGATTCCTGTTCATCGAATTTTGGTCGACACAGGAGCTTACTCAAGCATTTTGATGCTCCGCACTTTCAAGAAATTGGGTTTGGACCCAGCAGACATTAGGCCTTGCAACGACCAAATTCAAGGTTTTAATGGAAGCATTTCTTGTCCTGTTGGCGAAATATTGCTCCCTATTCGGTTTGGTGGCTTTGGACCAAAATCCAAGATCATTATGGAAACCTTCAAAGTCTTGGATGTCCAGAACGAATATAATGCTGTAATAGGACGAACCGCACTTTATAAACTT